GAAAAAAAGGGAAGCCGATAATGGCTTTATCATTTACCATGAATCTTACGGCGACAGCACAATCGCGTGCACAAAAATAATACAACGATTTTATGTCTACAATGAGCATTTAGACAAGATCAACTAGATTACAATTCATATGATGAGGAATTTTTCATTTTATTCTCAGCGAATCCACAACTGAATATAGGAAGAGTCATATTCATGTCTCGTAACAGTCATGTATCATCTAGAGAATCTCTTACAAACTCAATGAGTTCATCATGAGTGGAGGATGATTTAAAAGAAGATATGTTGTGTTCATGAGTGCGGATGTGGGTTCAGATACGATGAACCTCTAGACCCCCAGCCACACTCTCAAAGTTAGATGATTTGTTAAAAGTCCTTTGAACAATAATTTTATTGGTAATCATTGTTTAATTCTATGTTTAAACATTGTCGAGACAACGAACAAATACATTATCGGATCCACTTTAGTGACAGTATGGGCGTGGACGAGACGAAAAGAATGACATACAGATCCACATCTACACCCACTACCCACACCCTCATCCAGCCACGTATGCATTCATACGTATCCACTCATCCAAATTCACTTTCAAAAGAACTCATTTTATTGCATTCTTATTTATCTCCATATTTAGATATAATTAGTTTGCTCTCGATAATGCACATTTTTACTCATTCCAACGCTTTCAGCAATATCTTCTAAAACAGAGCTAGATGAGTGCACTGTTGCATATGGATTACGATCTGGTCGTATAGTTATTGATAGCGAATACAGATACTTCATATAGTCAAATAACTTGACCACACTAGTTTGACATAATGGGTTTGCATTCGAGTTACAAGTTATTTGCAATACCTCCAAGGCAGGATAATTGATGATATAGCCGCCAAATTGACTCATATTAGCACCCATGACATGTAGACTTGTCAATGAAAGGCGAGGAGTGTAAGCTAAAAGTTGAGTCCCATCCATTTTTATGGTTTTGACGTTTTGTGTTATTGAAAAAATCGATTTACGAAATGTCTTTTACATTGAAGAGTTTAATTGAAGTGATCTAACATTGTGAAGAATAATATTGCTATATGATAAATCAACTTGTGAATCAAATACAAGCGTAGTTAGATTCTTGAATGTTTCTGCGATTGCTTGTAAGAATGGTGGCGATATCACGGCAGTCGACTTATATGTTAGACAATGAACTGCCAAACAATGGACAGCATTATTAAAATTATACTGAAGAACATCAATCGATAAGTCCTGTAGCTTTTTGTATGGAAATGGCATTGAATGCAGAATAATTGTAAATTGATCAATGTAAAAAAAATTTGCAGACCAGTTTCGTTGACGCCAATACTCCGTGCAAAAACTTTGCATGATAGAGTTTCTCTGATGAGAAGGATAAAAAGAGAAATCACGCATTCTAAGGCAAAAGTAAATCTTTTTCAAATATTCGCAGTGTGACAACAACTCATGTTCAAAATAGTGACCATCTATTCGATTTGAACAATGAACAGACCCCACTTCGAGTGATAATACAAAAAGAAGTAGACACCTTTTGATGATCGCTTCTAATACTTTGAAATCATATGCTGTTGCTTGTTCAAAATATTCAAATATAAACACTTTTAGTTTTAGTATCGATGGAATCCTATTAAAACTAGGTTCTATTTCAGTACTCGATGGTCTCACTTGCAATCGTTCAATATTCGGAACGTTTGCTAATAGACTAAGCAAATCACTTGCTTTTGTTAATACTGATATTTGTAGGAGTTTAATATTTGTAGCACAGATAGGTTTACTAAAATGAATTGAATGTTCAGAATTGCATATAACATGTGTTAACGAAGAGTGTTGGGTATAATATAACTTATCTGAAACGTATTTAATACACTGCCAAGAAATGATTTCTAACTCCTTTTTTTCACGATCCATGTATATTCCATTGTCCTCAACAATATTAAGTTTCAGTTTCCTTAGTCTAGGAAAAGATGATAAGTCATTCAAATAGAAAATAAGATGATTCATATGTGAAGCATTTTCGACCCAAAAAAAACTCAAATTCGGAAATACAGCTGAAACATACATTCCACTGCCGAATAGTTCCGTTTCACTGCGACGATTTGGATTACTAACTTTAAAAACTGCGACATTGGCACCTATAAATGGAAATATATTACAGTATTCTTTAAGCAAACAGTATGAGAATAAACGATTGACCAAGTCTATGAATTTCACATAATGTGAAATCAGTTGGCTGTATCGATCATTCAAATGATAATAAGCATATGCGATCTGAACATGATCCAAATAATCAAATATGCAATAGACAATATCATCTGATAGAGTTTCAAACGAGGTAGCCATTTTTACGAGTGCACAGCTTTTTTTTCGGCCACATTCTAAATGTATATCAAAATACTTCGACGAACAACAAGCCACTGAACAGTTATCTCAAATTTTCAAAAATCTCTACATCTACCTGTTTAGTCCCTTACAAGAGTTTTGCTTTTCATCGAGCTTTCAAAAATGAATGAATGTATCATGCACCTTCTTATTCTCCTATCTTATCATCATACAGACCGTCTTCTCGTACTTTTTCTGTCACCTTGAAATATGCCGCTTGAAACTGAACCACATTACTTTACGATAAAGCCCTAATGGAGGTATTTGTTAGGTATAGATAAGGGTAACCATATAGGGTGGATATAACGTAGATGTATATGTGGATGTTGGTGCAATTAATCAGAAAGGTTGATTTTTGGGTGTGGGGCGTGCGAGTGGGCGCGGGTGTGGGTGCGGGTCGGGAGAAGAAGAACACCCACACCCACACCCGCTCACACCCACACCCACACCCACACCCGCACCCACCCACACACACCCACACCCACTCGCACCCAAACCCGCCACTCACACAGTGGATGAGAGAGTTTTCTGTCCTCCCGGTGTTTAATTTTTTTGTGTTGAAAGCAATAAAGCGGTGACAATCGATAATATCACAGAGGTTCATTTCACAACATTACATAATCAGTTTTTCCAGTAGGGAATTGCAAAGTAGTTCCGGTCCCAGTCGAGACGAGATCTAACGATTTTCAAGTTACTCCCCGAAGTATTTTTATGAAAGACTAGACTATAGATTTTCATGCTTCTTATATCATTGTGACTAAGAGTGTGCAGATTTGCCATTTTTCTTTATGATTCCGATAAAAGTCTCTTACTGATCTCGATTCTGAATTCAGGGGCTGAGATTTCTCGATGATATGTATAGGTTTTTAAATAGACGTACTGGTACCATATACACATATTTGAGTTGATAGAAATTCAACCATTCTTTTGATTGTACATTTTTTGTCGTTCTTTCACTGTTTCTTGTATAAACTCTTGAGTGTTGTTGAGGTACTTCTCTATGTTTCAAAATGGAACTTTATTACTATTTGGAGATGCGAGAAAAACTGTAAAAAATTAGGCTTAATCTTACTCGAAATCGTTTCCTCTTAGAAAACAATCGGGATCAGAAGCAATACAAAACTTTAACCAGAATTAGGTCAGAGACCAAGACCTGGGCCAGAAAAAAAATCTAACCAAGACCGAAACCGGGGTCATTAAAACAAGTTTAACTCGTACCAGGACCAAAGAAAAGCAATTTTTCAGGGGTTTATCTTCGAGTCGAAACTGTACTCTTCTAAGAAATTAACAAAAGCTTTACCATTCTTCCGAGCGATACTCCTGCGACTTCAAAAAGGGATTGAGAGGCATGCCGAATAAACTGTTACAGCGGTATTAAAGGTCACCATTTGATTAATCTCAACATTAAATGCTGAAATATTTTGGGACGAAGAAACAGCCGTGCCAGTCCTCAACTTTGAGAGAACTTCAAAGTTGAGTACGTGTGCCAATACGTGCACGAGTACGTGTACGAGTACCAACATTCTCGAGTACGAGTACGAGTATGAGTACCAACAAAATCATACTCGAGTACGAGTACTTCGAGTATTTTGCTCAGCTCTGATTTTGATTTGTCTGTGCGAGACACAACATATTCATAACGATCATGTTTGATTTCATCATTCTAACGAATTAGTAATCGACTTAGATCTACAGAGACAATCGGAAAAAAATTATATGTGCAAGATTCTTTAATCAGAGAAGACACGTTGAAATATACTACAATATTGGATTATACAAAGCTCTTAGTTGTTCTCAGTAATTCACTTTCAAGTCAAACTTGGAGAAAAAATCTATTATAGTAATGTGGAAAATATCAAACTTTCTTGACTCATGTGGAACAAATACGAATATTTATGCAGCTGAATAAAATAGAGAACTAGAATAAGAATCCAGTCGATATATATTATTATTACAAGAACTAAAATACTTACTTTTCATTTTTAATAAAAAAAATACCTTCTTTATGAAATCTTTTTTATTTGAAGAAGCATCAATGTTACTTCGAATGATCCAATTAAAAGAAAAATGCATACATATAGTATGACAGAATTAGAACTGATAAAAGTTAGACGCAAATAGAATCTAATCAATTCGTTACATTTTTTGTGATTGATATGAATAACAAATGTAAGTTCGCGATTACACGTGTGTAGGTTAATTATATTGTATTTGCTTTACATTAAAACAAAAAAGCATCTTTTTACGATTATGTAGGCTAATTAACGTATCAGGTACTAGAAAAATTTTTAATTTTATATCATAGTTATAATTTTTTTAGTAATTCTTTTCTATAGATATAGAATGGCTTATCTTTAAAAAAGACTTAGGTAAAAGAGATGAGATAGTAAAGTTCGATTTAATTTAATTTCCAGTCAATTCTTGACAGAGACGAACAGAACGAAAAAATACAGAAACTTCTTTCTTGCGTTCTGTTCGTCAGCTATCGAGAAATTAGCACAAAATAAATTTAAATAAAGTCACATTTCACTTGTGCATCTCTACAACAATATTGGGAATTTTCGCCTCTTCTTCTGTTGGTATTTGTATGTCAAGATTGCTAGGTAGGTATTCCACTCTTTAAATATATACACGAGTAAAATATTTAATACAAAATTCGATTTGAATCTGCAGCAGCTCAACATCATCTAAATCTTCATATATATCCGATGTGACTGATCATGGTTCAGGTAGTAGTACGGGTCATAAACCTTCACAAATTGCAAATAAATGGCTTACATTAAAATTTGGCCGAAAAGAAGAAATTCCTTTTCCACGCAATTCATTATGTATAACTCTATATACTTTTATATAATAACTAGGAATTTTATTTAGTAATAAAAGAAAATGATAAAAAAGAAATTCGTTGTCCTGCAAGTGATCAATTAGTATGTAATGCAAAATTTCCTGATTCATTGAACAGATTAAACATAGTTGAAATATTTGCACATTTATATGAATTTCATCCACCAATATATACAAGCATAACAGAGAATTATGATACTTGGTATGGTACAAAACAAGTAAGAGATTCTCTAATGACTGAAATCGTAATATTAATTTTACTCTAATAAAATGTTATTCTTGTTTCATCTTAGGAAATAATAGCATCACATCAAGAAATTGCAACAACACAAGATTATATTCGTTTTTTTGAAGACGCTGCTAAAAAAGAAACAAAATCATTATCATCATCATCAACAACAATCAAAAGAAGAAGCATTGTAACACTTGAATCATCGGTACGTATGCTAATCTTTGTCAATATTTTTAGTTTTATCATATTAGTTTTTCAACATTTATTTCCTCATAGTTTAAAAAAAAATGGTAATTCGAGAAATGTTCGAAATAAGTTATATCAATCGCACTCAATCGAAGCACACTTAGTATCTAGATTTTACTTTCGCAGTAATAGAATGAAAGCAGTAAATCCACAGAAAGGGTCATTCTTCAATATTTTATATATATATTTCTTTGGTATTCATCCATACAACATTTCCCTGTAATAAACCATTTACATCAATACTGATATGATTTCTTAAAAGAAATCAACTGAATAATGTCATTAATGTTGATTCATTTATTCATAATTACTTCTATGAAGTTAATGATTTTTAATATTTATCAATTTGAATTTATTTAGCAAACCTTTTTCCTTGAGATCATGCCTTTTTCTGTAATGCATGATAAGAAAAAAAGGCGCTATTCATATTCATGCACTTCCATGATACAGTTTGACCAATTCATTGATTGTATGAGAAATATCATACAAATCAGACCCTTAGAATCATCATCATTATGTCAATGAACCAATACAGGGTAAATGATGGATGAACATGAAAATCATTCATTGCTAAGTTGTGAACAGAAACAGATGAGAAGGAAAAAAGAGGAAATGAAAAAATAAAAATTTATTGGTTATTGCATGAACAATAGCTCAGCTTTTGTTAACATATATACATGTACATAAAAATAACGTGCATGTTATTTTGTATTGACTAATATACACCTTTTGTAGTTTGTCGCTAGAATTAATATTTCTTTTTATCTCTTTTCTTTAATCAATTGTTAGTATTAGAGAAAAAATGGCTCAAGAAATTCCAGAATCACAATCTATTGTAAGCATTTTTTCACTATAGAATTCATTATTGATGAAAGAAGAGTATCTATTAGCTTCGTCAAAACTGAATTAATTATTTATACATTAAAAAAATACCAGTTAGAATGCTAGTTGTTCAAACGAAATCTGTTTGTCTGTAATAGAATGCTAGAATCAAGCTTTGCCCGAATAATAAGTAAATTAATTATAAAATATAAACATTTATTTAGGCTGATCGAACAAAGAAGTCACTTGAACACCACGAAATTTTTGACGATTTGGCCAATAAAACACATGATGCCATTAAAACATACAGCAAAGGAAATATTACACATAATCAACTATTAATGAAGATCAAGATACTTAACGATGATTATTTAAAAAAAATTGAAGATATATAACTTTTCTTTTTTTTCTTCGGTTGAATTTTCTCCTCAGTAGAACAACAAATATTGATTTTTTTCTTGTTCGAGAAACAAACGTTGATTTGGGTGTGGGTGTGTGAGTGTCGGTGGGAATGCATTTCTATCAACACCCACACCACACCCACACTCCACACCCACACCCCATATCAGCCTTTAATTTTTTATCCAATTCTTTTATAATTACCAAGTAAAATTTTTTCATCAAGTGGATCTGTTGTATGTAAATAATAAAAATTTAAAAAAGATGAAAGAATATCATAACAACCGTTAAATAATTTCTACAAGAAAAATTTGATTTAGTTTAATGCCTTGAGATATATTAAAACGTTTACTTTTCGTTTTGTTTCAACATCAACTAAAGTATCGATATTTTGAAGTAAATTTTCAGCTGTTGAAATTTGTTTATTATATATTTCTTGTTTTTCTTCATCTGTTTCACGCAAATAAATATATTTTACATGCTGAAAAAAAGATAAATTTATTTTATTTTATTTCATTTTTTTCAATTTGGTCATTCTACATTAAGTGCACTTTAACAATCTTCAATAATTTTTTCAATTCCAACTGAATTATTATTCATATATTTTTTAATAAGATATTTTTCTTGAGCTCATTTAATAGTCTTCAAAGAAAAAAAACTCCATAGAAAATGAAAAATATAGTACCAATTACTTTACATCATCATCAATGTCGACTACATTTATTATATGAAGAACATTATAAGGGTGTGGGTGGGTGTGGGTGGGTGTGGTGTGGGTGTGGGTGTGGGTGAGTGGGTGAGTGGGTGTGGGTGTGGGTGAGTGGGTGGGTGTGTAGGTGTGGGTGTGGGTGTGTGGGCGTGGGGGGGTGGGTGGGTGTGGGGGTGGGGGTGGGAGTGTGGGTGTGG